TCTGTAGATAGTGTTTAATTTTAAAAAATTGATGGATAATTGCAAAATCAACATCAACATCTATTAAAATAAAATACAAAACCCATAATTTTTATAGAAAAACAGCATATCTTTGAATACGGCAGCCATTTGCGTATAGAAGATAGGTCGTAGGGACAAATTTTTTTTTTTCATTTTGTAGTACATAAAATAAGCTTTAATTTGATATATGTTTGAAGGACGCAGTATTTCCGGTACATTTTCNGCTTTAATTTGATATATGTTTAAAGGACGCAGTCTTTCCGGAACATTTTCAAAAATTAAGTTGAAAAAATTAATTTTTGTAAAAAAGTTGCCATTTTAAATCCCCCCCAATGAGCAGGTTAAGTGATAGATTTTCAAAAAAATGATATCAAATGAAAGGTAAATATCTAAGGTTTTAGTATAAAAAAAAATTATGTTGATTTGTTGATTTTTCAAAAAGTTATGGAAGTTTTAAGAAAAAAAAGTGAAAAAATTTCGAAAATTAGCGATTTTTAAATTTGTAATTTTTTTGGATATTTACCCCATTTGCGGGGAACGAGGGAATTTTTTTTAATTTTTAAGGATAATGTCATCAACTAGATAGGATTTGTAATCTTTTGACGTATTTTTGAAAGAAATCGGTCCAGTGAGAGCTGAGAATTTGTTGTGTCCTCAGTGTGTTTATAAAATTTATTTTGAAACTGAAAAACATTTTAACCCATACATAACTTTTATAAATTAATAAGCTCATTTATTTTATTCTGTTCTATATTTTGTTCCTTATGCCAGTATTTAAGAAAACCAATTGTTATATTTATCGGTATGCTAAAAAATAAGGATACTACGTCAAAAGAAATTAACCTGCTATTTGTTGAATATTACAACCAGACAATTTTTGAACTAATTCAATATTATTTTTAACTGAAAATCTATCGAATTTCGGAATAGATAAAAATACCCTTAGTAGGGTGTACTTGAAAGTTGGAGATCTTAATTAATTGTTAAATGTTATTTGCTGTACTTAATTGAGGTACTGCATATAAACATTACTTTAAATTTGTACAATAATTTGATTTTAGTTAATTGATTATTCTGTGTTTTAAAGAAGGGAACCTTTTTTTAGTAATTTTGTAAATTCATAATATGTGACATACATGTACAATTGATAGCACTATATTATATGCCAATATTATAAGTGATGACATAATATTACAATTCACTAATATTCTATTTACTATTAATCCTCTTTTTTTCTTTTTGGTTTATTACAGCAATATAACTGATAATTATTTTACATTAAGTGTTATGGAAAATAATCGATTGAGATAGCATTTAATGTATTTTACTGTAAACATTTGTTTTTAATATCATATTATGCTTCAAAGAGGGAAATCATTACAATAAACAAGTCCGAAGAGCATATTTTAAAATCAATTTGCTTGTAGTGTTCATAATAAATTCTTTTGAATAACACTTACATTTCTTTAAACAATTTTTTATAATGATAAAATGCCAAATTATTGTTCTAACTATTTTAATTTTTTTATTTCACGGATTCTGTCAAAATGAGTCTGAGACTAATTTAAATCAAGAAATGATTATAATGATTGATTTGCCAACACAAAATTTCACTATTGATAAACCTAAGGTAACAGAAAGTATCATCTATGCACCGTCTATAACGGAGTGCAGCGAAGGACAAAAGAAGGATTTTAACGGTCAATGTAGAGAACAATTTAATGAAGATGAATCTGAGGACAATAAGAAATAAAACTATTATAGTTGTCAGTACTAAAATAATTATTAATTTTTTTTTATTTTACAACTAAATTTTAAAATAAGTTTGTTTATGTTAAAGTATAAGTAATATTATTAATAAGTTTTATTAGTGTATTATTTCATCAAAACAAATGAGAAGTAGGTTTTATAAAAAAATCTAATTTCATCAATTGACACCAATAAACTTAAATCAAACATAATTATCATGCTTAAGTTTCAAGTTTAAACTAATATTATTTACCTCAAAATCTTGTAACTAAAATATACTTCAATAAATGTCATGGTAAAGTTACTCCTTTTATATAATATTTAAGTATGAAAAGATGTTTTACTATGAGGTACTGCAATCCAACAACTTCCAAATAAAAATATGTATCGAAATAGTTATATATAGTACAATATACAAGGTGATTCTTTTAACACAAGTCACTCGATTTTTTTTTTTAATAATAATCATGTAAAGAAAATTATTTTTTTAGTATTTGTTACCATATACTAAAACTTCATGAACACAACAAAATTATGTTTAAAATTACTAGTAATAGTTTCGATTTTAGTAACTTTATTTCAAGCAGTGAAGGTAAAGTTTTAAGACTAGCATTCTATTAGTTTATTAAAACATTCAATTTGACTCTATAATTAGAAAAGAACGATAGCTCAAAAACGCGTTAATGATTAATTCAAACAATTAAAACAATTCTAAGAAATCAACGGATTACTTTTGATTTCGAATACTTCGTTACAATATTGGACCAAGCTATCAATAATATCACAAGTGATCTACTTAATGAAATGAGTCATGATTAAATTCATTTAAAAATGAAATATTAATATTAAATCGATTAAACAATTATTGGTTAGTAGCGATTAGGGTCGATGGCATGTTTGTATTTCTACTTCGATGCGCAGCTGAGATGGAAATAAAAAGAAATGGGCAAAAAAATTAGAATTGTTATAAAACAATCATTGGTGATACTTTTAGTTTATACTGTATATTGATAAAAAAATTTAAAAATTGGACGGATTATAGTAGAGCCAGGGGCATCATTTCAGTGTTATTTTGGGTGTGCGAGATTTCAAGTAGGCCACTTTGAAATTTCATCAGGCCATATAAAAATAGATATATCTACTTAAGTAAATTATTATTCTTTTAATTTTTACATAGATTATGAATCACAATCAACGTAAGTAGTAAATATAAATTATAATAATACTTACTATTTTAATATTATATAATATAACGTAGAGTCGGGGTCGTAGTAATTGTTGAATTTTATATTTATCAGTTCATTACCGTTAACAAATATTGCCGTTAACTGCGTGGCAAGAGTTGTGATAAAGCAGTTACAAACATCAATATCAATATCTTTCGTCCGGTACGAATATAAATGGATCAATAATATATTTATTTACTCAATTAATTGATAACAGAATATTTGTTTATTGACCCATGTAACCATGATAATACAATGTTTATAAATTTGAATTTATGTATAAAAAATTGGTGCATTATTTTTGCAGTCTAACTGGGACTGACTATGTATATGCAGAATTCTTAAAAATAGCCCAAATTATAAAGATATAATATCTGTTTATGAAACTTTAAATATAAAATATATATAGTTTTTAAATATCATATAAATCATACTCACATATAAATATAATACATAAATTACATATATTTATCTCAATACAATATTAATGTAGACATAGGCACAAATTGAGAGAGAATGGATCTTGAATGGGCTAACCTATCCAAAACTTACGAAAAATTACATACGCAATTATACAAAAATAAATTTTAGAGTGGGTAAGTTAGGAATAATAATTATCTCTTCTANAAAAATAAATTTTAGAGTGGGTAAGTTAGGAAAATGATTATCTCTTCTAAAATTTTATTGAAATAGTGCCTATAAATATAAAAGTTATTAGCTACATTATTTGTCATTGTTTTATTAAATTACATTATAAAATAATTAAATAATACAGGGAAAAGCGTAAAATAATTTTCCAGGGTAAAGAAATAAGTAAAAATGTTCAGAAGAGATTATCAGAAAATAATTCAAGGGAAGATGTAAAAAATGCTGATGAAATATATGCAGTTACACTGATATTTTATTAAAAAGGAAGACTATAAGTTTGCTGAACTAAAAAATAATCACTTCTAAAAGATGAAAAAAGTCCACAAAATCACGGAAAATATAATTAAACATATTGTAAAATGCCAATAACTTTATTCAACAATTCATGTTAAGAGTAGTTTAGTAAATTAAGACAATTATTTATGTGATTTTTTTTATCAAAACATTCCGCAAATGTATTATTATTACTATTAGCTACAGTTAAATAGAAATATAAAAAAAATAGTACTAAGAATAATTATTTATTTTGACTTCAATAAAACTATAAAATGTAAAAATATATTATGATTCTTAAAATTTTAATTTCTATCAATTCAAATATGAGTCTATAAAAATAGATGCATACTTTTGTATATATTCTTATAAGATAATTTGATGAAATTCATGCATTTGAAATCAGTCTTATTTCCTATATTCATGATGATAATACTAAATTTCAATTTATTCGCACATAAATAATAGGTAATAACGAGAAGGTACTTGGATACTTAGAATAATATTCAGTAACGATCCTAAATAAAGTGACATTTTTTAAAAATGTTTCAGAACCTAAAATAATAAGTCGACTGATACAAAATATGTTCTCTGAAAAGTAATGTGTACCTCTTAAATTATTAATTCAAGTATTAAAACTAACCAAATGCATTTTAGTTTTATTTGTAGAAATAGAAATTCTTCTGAAATTGTATATATTTTAGACTCTGATATGTATTATAAAATTGTGTTACATTTTAATCATTGAGCGTTGTAATTTCTCAATTATGATTGAAATATCACTTAATTAAAAAAAAACTTATACGGTCGAGTCGCGATAACTCAAAGTTAAAGGGGGATAAAAATTCACCTCGAGATATGTATTATTCGAGATACCTAACTCAAATTTATCAAAATAAAATCAAAACTTCGAGTTACCTATGTAATGAAATATAATTTTAAAATTATACGATAAAAACGTCATGACAAATATAATATATTTATGTTTATACGTAAATGCTNATGTTTATACATAAATGCTATACAAAAACTAAATAAAATTAAAAAATAAATACAATGAAATTATATGTATGTACATATGTATTATACAGTAGATACAGTAGAAAAATAATGTATTATTAATTTTTGGTTTTTTGGCTGTTTATTGACAAAATCTTCTAATTTGTCTATGGATTCGAAAATAGAAGTATCCACGCCTTCGACAGATTCAACAAATTGTCTAACAGTTTGTAATGATGACATTGCTTGGTTCGCCGTAATCATATTTAAAGTTGTTTCAGGCTCATCATCTTCATTATTTTTGGAACCACTATTTGATATATTTATACCCATGATTTCTTTATCAGTTAACATTCCACTGACTACAACATTATCATCGATTGTAACATATGATTGAAATGTAAACTCTTGATCTATATTAAGTTTATCTGCTACAATTTGCCAATCATATCCACCATCATCATCGTCATTGTTTTCTAAACCATCACCATCAAACTGCTCATCATTAAAATAGAATCCAACTTTTTTGAAACAATTGACAATTGTACTTGGTTGTACATTACGCCATACTTTTTCACACATACGCATGGATTGTAATAGATTTATTGAACATGGTTTGCCTTCATCAATATCGTAAACAATTTTTCGAATAATTTCTTTGCGGTATAATGTTTTGAAATTTTGTATTATTCCCTGATCCATCGGTTCTAGTTTAGATGTAGTATTTGGAGGTAAAAATTCGATTTTTACAGATTTTAAATTGATATTACAATGAGCTGTACAGTTATCAAAACATTTCTTTGATTTAGTCGCATTTTTTGATCAAATTTTATAAGCCAATTTTTAAATAAATCACCAGTCATCCATGCCTTTTTGTTTGACTCATAATCTAATGGTAAACTCTAACTCCTTTAAAATATCGTGGTTTAGTTGATTTTCCGATTATAAGTGGTCTAATTTTTTCGAAACCTGACATATTTGATCCTAAAAGAATTTTTATCCGTTCCTTGCTTTGTTTGCCACCTGAACAAGTTTCCCCTTTCAAAATAAAAGTGCGGTCGGGTAGGCATTTAAAAAACAATGCTGTCATATCCACATTAAATACATCATCAGGAGAATATTCTTTTATGATGTTTGATAACTTTCCTAACCATTCATTACATAAAGAGTCATTTATAGAAGCACTTTCACCACATATTTTACGAAAAATTATGTTATGACGATTTTTCCAATTTCCTAACCAGCCTTGACTTGCTTTAAAATTAGAATGCTTTTTCTTTTAGTATTGGTCCACTTATAGGTATATTTTTATCTCTACATTGAGTAAACCATTTGAATAAACATACCTCTACATTTGGATATTCTGCTGGTTTTGATCTTTTACAGTCACCTTTATTGTTTTCAAATTTTTTTAAAATATCCGCCTTATTTTTTAAAAATGTCGACAGCGTATTTGGAGGAATATTAAATTCTTTTGCGATGTCTTGTTTTTTCCGGTTACCTTTCTCCACCAATTGTATCACATGAACTTTGTCAGCTATAATTAAATGGTTTAATTTTCGTTTTTGGGACATGTTTAAAAACATTCAAAAATACGCACGACAAACACGACAGGTAGAGTATAGACACATACTAACCAATACATACTTATTATTATTGTGTGTGCGCTAATAATCAGTTTCTATCTACTCGTTTAATCTTTATTATACAGTACTGAAGTAGATAAAACATAATACATAATAATGAACACAATTATCATGAAATACCCAGAATATCCAGATATAGCAGATATAAAAATATACTTCGACTAAGCTATTCATCACAATTTTATATTCGAGTTAACAAGACTTATATTACATAGAGTGTTATTATAATTTCTAAGGGAAATAAAAAAAAATCGAGTTGTCGAGTTCTTCGACTCGACTGTATTTATATTACACATGTTTCGCATACTCAGCTTTCGAATAAAGACAAGGTTATTCGGTCTCCTTTATTGTATTCCAGTTTTATCCAGTACCTGATAGAGTAGTTTAGAAAAAAATTGAATTCTGTATAATATTCACAGATACATGTCTTCAGTTTTGGGCTGAAGTTTCGGACTCATTACAAAAGTCCATCATCGCAGGATAGTTACAAGTTCGTGGTTGTAACTATACTGTCGGATTGGCTTGTTTACAGTTTGTTTTTATATCAGCAGATAACTGATAACGTCGATGTTAATTATCTGTTGTTGTTTTTATCGTATTGTTGTTGATAACAACTGTCAGTTTGTTGTTTCCGCTGTTTTTGTTTTTGTCGTATTGTTGTTGATAACAACTGTCAGTTTGTTGTTTCCGCTGTTTTTGTTTTTGTCGTATTGTTGTTGATAACAACTGACAGTTGGTTGTTTCCGGTGTTTTTGTTGTTGTTTACGACATCTTTGGTATTTTGCTCTTCCTCTTCTACACATACAATTTTTTGATATATTCATTAAATTTTTTTTACACATTAAACTATTTTCTATGTTTTTATTGATCTTCTTTTTGCCTGGTGCACGATAGGTAACCATGATAAGTCTTGCTAATTTTCCATTCTCTGTTGTAATTTTTTGGACATTTTTCGATTTCTATTGCTTTTCTGTATATTTTTTTGTAAAAAAAAAGCTTCTTTGTTCAATAATTTGACTTTGTTAAACTAGACCTCTAACTTAAAACATTCAGATACAAATATAAATTCTAAATTGTATATATCAAATTATACATATTATAAATATATAATAGCTTTATCTATACTTAATTAAAGTTAAAGTTATATTCTTAAACTTTCGATCATAAATTAAATACACAAATAAATTATATAAGTCAAAATACTATATTAATATTTATTTGTTTATTTAATTTATTAATTGAAACGAAAAACAAAATTAAATTAATTTAAACAAAAAAATGAATTATAATTTATTTCCTTTCTCTCCTTCCCTTCTTAATCATTTGCTTCCGAAAACTATTTACTAATAGCCATTAATATGTCTTTTGACGCTATGTCTGGGAATTTTCTCTTAATTACATATAAAAAATCAAATCCACAAATTTAATTCGATTCTTTTCAAATTTAAAACTAAAAAAAACAAAGTAAGCTAATTTTAAAATCATAATTTTACAATGTTTAAATATGTTTTATAAAATTTTTCTTACTAATTAAACATGTATAGACATATGTCAAAGAGAAGTGCCTTTTTGTACTATTAATTTCTCTACCATATGCACTATATAATATTTGCACATCTTTTGACGTCAGTCGTGGAATAACTGATGTTAATTTGTCGGTTATTTTAGATGTTTTAAAGTCAATATTTATTGTAATAGCTATTAATCTTGGTTTTATAGTGCAATTTTTTAGTAATGAAGATTATGTAGTATCAGTATTGCGCCGGTATTCTACCAACATTTGGCACAAGTTCAACTAGCCACGGCAACCCAATATTGGAGGTTTAGTAGTGCCAGTACTCTGTCGGTATTTGATTAGCAATGACGTTACAAAGACAGCCAGTACTTACGGTCAGTACGAGCTAGGCAGCTATAAAATGCTTAGTTAATACTGTCGTTGCACAAAAATTTTTGCTTAGAATTAATCACAGAAGAATTCATTTTGGCGATAAATTTTTTCCGTCAATATTTCTTATCTGAGGAAATTTTTCCGTAAAAGTTAATAACAATATTCAATAACTTTATTAAATATTGTCAAAAATTTAGTAAACATCATATATTCTATATATGTATTTATGTTGTTAAAATAATAATGAAAAAAATTTGCAATGCTATAAAAGTTTAAATAAATTATCATTTTTAACATTTTAATGTTAAAGTACACTGCCTATATTAATTATACCTATAAATTAAATTAATTGCGGTCAGACTGCTCAGGCGACAGATAAAATGAAGTTTACTTATTGTAATAAGTAGGCGCCATACAGTGCTTGCTTATATGTTATATTTTCACCAAATAAATAATTACTAGTAGTATAAATATTTAGATTGTCTATGTGAAATATAAATTACATTTATTCCTATTAATCAATTTAAGTGCATTAAAGTTATTTATATATCTTATTATATAATAGAACTATGAAAAAAAATTTTATAGAAAATTACAAGCGTGCTTCGATTTTTAATGTTTTTTTTTAAACTTAAGTGCTCGTTCACGAGACTTCAAAAAAGTTTTTTTTTTATGTCCACGCCAATTTTTACATTAGAATGAGATTTTGTAAGTGCGCGTTGCAATATATTTTGTATATTTTCTCAAGAAATGTTTGATAGTTATATACAAATGTCTGGATGTTATAAGTATATAGAATGTTCAGAAATTAAGGAAACTGGTTTCTATTGTTCTCATTGTTTATAGCAATTGATCTGTTTCCTTACTTATTGAACACCTTGTTTAAGTTGATACATACGTTATCAGGATAGTACAATCTATTAGTAATCTTATTTATCTCTTATATGATATATAAGTCTATGAGTTTATTGTAAAAATTATAACTTATCTATGACATCTATGTTGTCAACATCAAATCACAGTAACCAAAATTTTTATCAAAATAGACTTATTTACATAGACCTAAGAATAATAACTTGCCGAGTTTTTCTATAATATTAACACAATTATTATAATTAGAATATTATTAATTATTGTTTATACCAGGGGTATATTAAAAGGGGGTATGACCCCTTGGATCATCCCTATTAATATTTTTTAAGGCCAATTTCTAGAAATATAGCTCTAAAGACTTATTTTTAACAACAAATTTTCTATATAATGTTTACTAAAGTAAAAAAAATTAAATACTCTTCTAAAATTATTTTTGAATACGCCCCTGGTGAATACATCAGTAAACAAACGTCAACCTCCTAATAAATGTACCTCCTAACACATTTTAATGTTTTCTATTCTTGAATGTTCCTGATTTTAATAATTAAATTTTCAATATATTTTTGTTAATCTGATTCTGATGTGATAGTTTTCCTGCCTTACACTTACCGTGCAGAACGTAGCTGAGTACTCCTATCAGAATCAATAACCTATTTATATGGACGGCCAAAGAGGATTACGTACCGAAGGCGCGTAAGGCTCGTAGTGCTCCACTAGGCGAAGCTTAGTATATAATACGAATAATTAATTAAATATAAATTATTTTTATTTCCTTCAGTGATAATCAAAATCATTGATTCTCTGTCTTAAAATTATTTCCTCCAGCTGATCACCATATTCTTCCATATGTTTTATATCTCTCAATGATATAGCTAAACTAATGTTTTCTTTTTTCATATTATTAATCTGCTCAACTAATTGATTATGTTTTTCTTTTAACTTTTCTAATTTTTCTCTTTCATTGATTGTCGAAGTCATATGAGTGCGAATATATTCTAATGGATCGTCAGGTTTTTCTTCCATTTCATATAATTCTATTAGCACTTTAGTTAAGGCATCTACTATGCCCGTGTCCCTAATATAAGTTTTAAATTCTTCTTTATTAATAGTCGAATCGGAATCCATAAATATAGCTTTACTATTTCAACTTAAAAATGAAAATGAGTAAGTAATAAGAATGAAAATAATAATAAGAGGTAAACAATTGTTCCTTGGAAACACTTTTTTTTTAACGTAAAACATATGTATAATAAAACATATATTAGAATAGTCAGTTATTAAAAATAACCTACCTATTATTATGCGTTCTTCACTTTTTTAGAAAGATAAACGAATATTTACTTTTAAATAAAAAAAAAACCCAGAATAGTGGGGTCGAGGCACAGTGGGAACGTGGTATAGTTGGGTCCAGTATAGATTTATTCTGACAGTGATTAAAATCACTATCATAAAAAACGCTTCGATGCAAATCTGTAGATAGTGTTTAATTTTAAGAAATTGATGGATTATTCCAAAAGCAAAAATAACTCCTATTTTTGTTCAACTTAGACCGCCATTTGCACATAGAAGATAGGTCGTCAATACAATATTTTTTTTAATTTATAGTACTTAACATAAGCTACTGTGTAACAATTTACATATATATATATATATATATATATATATATACAAGTTGCCATGCCATGTTCTGACATCTTTAACAACTTTTGATCCAATTAATATTTTGCGTTCCATTTTTCTTTTAAATACTTTTTATACATTTTGACAATAAAAATTGTGTACTTTTACTTTATTGAACATTAAAATATGTGTTGATAAAAAGGCAAAAGAAAACTTTTACTGTTTTTCCAATTTTTAAACAAATAATATATATAATAATAAATTATTTTGTTATGAATGGAAATTTTTCATTGAAATTAAGATATCTTTCTTTATTAAAATCGAATTTATTCTTATTAATATAAAGGAACGTGTAATTTATAATTTTTACTTATAAGTATAAATACTGCTATCGTAAAGCGCAAAATTATTAAATTACAATTTAATTCATTTTTTATAGTTGATTAATTTAATTTTTTTTTTTTATTATTGTTTTGTATAATCTGTACACCTTTTTGCGTTTTTCTGTAATAAATAATTATGTTAATGATATGTTCAATTAATTTCACAAATGTAGAGTGTTCAAAAATTAAGAAAGCAGGTCACTTATTACAAACAATAAGAACAATATAGACCCTTTTCCTTACTTATTGAACACCCTATAGATGTTCTATATGTTTTGAAAATCGTTGTATAACGATGATATTACAATATCATGTTGTTCATTTTGGATATCAAGCGTCACTTAAAAGTTGTTTTAGTATAATTGCAATAAAAAATTCCTTTATAATCAATAATTAAAAACAAAAAAGATTACTTTTGTAAATACTTGTTAAGTACTTTGTTACACTATGACTGTTAAGTATATTCAAGTATAAACAAAACAATATCACAAATCATCCATAACGATAAAAGATAAAGAGCTAAATGGAGTTTTCATCGTATCGGTAATACATTAATGATTTTAATTATAATGAATGTTATTAATATCAACTAACTGATAATATAAACAATTATTTATGATGGTGGTGAATAGCATCCTCTTGTGCGTTTTCTTCGCAGAATAAAATACAGAGGAGGTGGAGAAGGTAATGTGTGTGGACGGTGTTATCGCGTAAAACTTGAATCGCCCCCGCCAACAACAGATGAAGCGATTGGCGGGAGGACACCACTGGTCGTCTCGAGCATCGGCTACGGGAGTCAGTACACGTTGTTCTTGTTGCTCGCGCGTTGGGTGCGTCCGGCTGCAGTTTTATTCACTCTGCGATCGCCCATTCGATTGTTTTACTATAGGGTTTTTTTTTCTTTGTGAAATATTAACGTTTAAAACCCACACCAAATCGACTACTAGCGAGTAGTTATAAAATATGCGTTGGCCGCCGCAACGCGAATTTGTTGGTCGTTTTTGTCCGCCTTTTCTTTAAAATTGTGACTTAGTTTTATCTATTATATAAATTTCTAGAAAATTTGTTTTAAACATTTTTTTTTAAAGCGGCCGTTAAAAAGTTCGTGACTATGTATTTGTCAACTGTCGGCTCTCTACTGCTTCTGTTGTTGGCTACCTCAACACTATCATCGGAGTCACCAAACAATCCTAAATGTGAGTGCACAGTTCTTATAATAATTGTTTAAAGTAGTGTTATGATTCCAATTGATATCACTTTTTTTGATATTACACTGTGAGCAACATTGTGACCTATCGTTTACATCACCGCAATGGTTTGCCGTAGGTGTACAAAATGTATTTGCTTCGATAAAATTTCACCATTCCAACTAATATGTTTTAAAAATGAGACTACAATAAGTAAGCGAGTTCTACTAAATGTAGAACTGGTACGTTAAATAGTACCGCGTGCAATAAACACTCTTAAACCTGGTGGTATTACTAGTGAAATTGTCTCCGAAACCGGTCCTATGCCGTTCAGTAGATTTCTCTTGGACAGCTAAGGAGCTGAGAGCTGCTATTGTCGTGATGAGTTCCACCGCCCCCAAGCTCATGGCTCTGATGTAATACGGTCTGACACGTTGATTTAAGTAATTGAGATGTAACGCGTGCCCATATACGTTTTTTTATACAACGGTGTTGTTATTATTGTTACCCTCGGACAGCTTTTATTATTATTGCGAAAAAAACATTGCCACACATCCAACGATAGTTTAATACGTTTTATTGTTTGATTGGTCGTGATTAATAATTATTAGCTACGTTCGAAGGTTGAGCAATTGTCCTACTATAATAACATCGGCATTATTATTATTATTATATTACCGGAGATGGTGATTGTCACGTCTGGTTGTCGCCTGTCAAATGGCCTAGGTCAAAACGACAGAGACAGACCTTATAGGAAATGCGATTTTCGTGTTAAAAACCTCAGGTCCGTTGTACTCTTTAATGGTGTGTGTGTTTTTTTTTTCATTGCAGTCGGTCCGATAGTTAACAGCAACCATTAACCTGCTAGTGCAATACAGTTGTTTTTAATTTTAACCCGGTCTGACCGCGCCAAACGAGTCGGGAATTAAGTATGTTCACTCGTGAACCGTAGCTAAGGGCGTTTTTTATGCACACACAAACGTATGCACTGGACAAGTTGCGCCGCCATCCGAAACCGTTTAGCCGGTCACACCGCGATGATTTTTATTGTAATTAAAACACTGGCTGTTACGATAATAATATCATGTGCGGTATGGCGGCTACCGCGTGGCAGCTGAAATGCACAAACAACCTTTTTGTAGGTGTTAGCCACCGGGCAGTAATAATTGCTTTAGACCGATCCCGCTATTTCTTCGCCGTTATTAAATTCATCTCATCAAAACTGTTGTAGGCTGTTTGGTTTAATCAACGTCTCTTCAGGTCCCAAGCAGTTAGACCATCCTGTGCTGACGACCGCACAACTATTCGTTTAAACAAGCAAACGAAATCCGATTCATTTGCAATGCATAGCGAATTGCACGAAATGAACACCCCTCGTATCTGTGTGTACAGATACGGATTTTATGAGCCTATTGATTCATTATACGCGTATCCGACCAAAAGGCATTGGTTTGACGGATCGTTTTTGTCTGGTCGACGTTTTATACATTTTGTATTGTTACATCCAAACTCGACAATTGAATAATAATGTCCTCCGACGCCATAGCGTCGTAACGGCTCTGCTAGGTTTATTTGAACTAGACGTGTCCACGTCGTAAACCTCTTTTCTAATCGTTTGCATTATGCCTTGTTTTTGTCATATGTTTATAATTATTATTTCTAAAGCTCCCCTGCCCCTCTATAGCGTCCAGTGACTAGCGAGAAAACAGTCCCACGCATTACCACGCAAAATAACTTTGATACGCTGTCTACTCACTTTTAGTGTTACACAAATCACTACTTTGAATTAGCATGACGATTGGTTAAATATGTTATGTTAATTATACCACCTCATAAAACGAAATATTCTATTCATATTATTTTTAAAACTTGTACCGAGTTAACACATTTACTTGAAAAAAATATAAGTCTGCTTCATTTAGCGTTTCGATTTTATCACCTATAAAACTAGGAAAGTAGAATAAAGAATTTTTTTTATACTTTGAAGTCCGTTAAGGGCTGTAGCGGCCTCTATCGAAGAGGAAGAGTCATAACCACATTCCGAGACAAATGGTTAATCCGTCACCAGATAGAGGGATGGCGACTCTAATTATTGAACTGATTTCTTTATCAGCAAACGGAACAGCCCGAAACAGGTACTTCTGAGTTTCTTACTCGGCCACATCGTCCCTCAAAAAGCTGCACGAAAAAAAATACTATTCAAATAACCATATAAATGAAGGCAATTGCATTTAAAACAATTGCAATGACTATTCGGTTAACTCAACCATTTATTTAGTTATTCCAACCGATTTTTGTTAGAGTTATCACTAAATTAACCGTTTATTTTTTTCGTGTATTTAGCTTATAGTATCATTTTATGGTTAAGAAGTACGTATTTTTTATAGATTGGCTCGTTTATAAAGTAAATAATAACAACAAACTCAACACTAGCTAGTAATTTAGCCGTTTTGACTTATCCAAATTATTAAGAGACAAATAACACCCTAGTTACACTAATAATTTTTTTATCAAAAGTCTTTTTCAACAAAATTATTGACGTCCAACATTTTGACAACTCACCAATTAGGCGGATTCGCCAATGATTCATTTGATTAATGAAAATTACGAGGAATGCGTTGGATTATTGTGAACGTATGACGACTCGTACGTGGGATCCAGTGAGTTACGACAAACAAAGGGCACGGTATTAACCATTCTTATATTCTGTATGTGTCGGCCACGGATCCCACTGTATATGGTATCCGTTCAATATTTACTACAGGATAATCCTATCCGTTATACGTGATCTGTTTACGAGTAGGGTTCATTGGTGCAGCGTATAACAATAAGACAGACCGATAGTCTAAAAAACAATAACAAATATAATTCCAGCAGTACTTTCTATTTGAATAAAGTAGACTTTTTATGTTTGTCATATTACCGCCTGGGTCGATGTTGTTCCAATTGAAGGCGTATTGTTTAACATTTATCTTACAAACTTACAAATTTAAAATAAAAAAACTAGGATAAATATTTTGAAGTTTTTAACATCTGTACAAAAGTACACTTTTTTTTCAATGTTATCCATTAAATATAAGTCGTTTCATATTTATGACAGAATAGTTGGTTTGGAAAGAATTGTCAAAAAACAAAGGATGTAATATCAAGGGAAGTTATAACAATTTAGACTTGTTGTATACGCCTGGAAAATGATAAATATTTTTTTAACCATATTCTGTAGCTTGCTCAATGAAACATACTAATAAGCTTAACCGCGTTGGTCTCACGTATTTTACCTTGATGCGGTGATACCTATAATCTACAATATTACATAAGACTTTAGAGAGACTCATTAGATGTCTGTTGGAATGCTCTACATTGTTTATGATTTTGGGGCGTTTCAACACTTAAAGAGTATTATTATTTTAAGTTATTATAGTTATTAGTAGGTTAGATGCATACAAAAACATTTGTCATTGACAGCTGAGTAATGTAAATTCGGTGAAATAAATATTATCTCTACTACCTGAAATAAATCTATAATTCCTTATACTTAACGTTTTAAAACTGCATTGGTAAATATTTTATTTTTATTTTAGGATAAAATTATTCAAAACATATTCAATTATAAATCAACAGAAATTTTTGAATTAACTAACATGTTAATAATAATGCGCGACTACTATTGTGTCACGTAATGATCTTAAAATAAACATATTTTTTTGGTAGATTCGATACGGGATTACTCGTGGAAAAAAAAACAGGCCTTTTTATAACAGTATTAATTTTTAGTTAAATTAGTTGTATAGTTTTGGAAAAAAATAACCAAATTGAAATTATATTCTCCTATTTGATTTAATTGGTTATTAATGGTTATAAATGAATTTTGTAGGAAAAACAAATGAATAATTAAATTGCAGCATTATTTTTTGCATGGTGTTAAAAATTTTCTGTAAGAAAAACACTACCGATTGATTCTTTTACTACTAGCTACTTGATTTTTTTTAAGTAATCATTTTTTTGTAATTTTTTTTTTTTATGGAGAGCTTTTTTTCGTTTCTCCATTAATCTCTTATAATATATTTTTTATTCTTCCTTTATGTCCTATAAGGGTATCAACTTTTTTTATTAAATAGAAACTGACTTGTCGATAACAAATTTTGAATCAAAAGTTATAAACAACTTAACATAATAATTGGAGATGAGGGATGGTTGCTGCTATTTCTATTTCTAAACATTTCTCCACCTCACTTTTCCTCCCACCTAGATATAAAAATGTTAATAACTTCTGAAGTAGTCATTATTTTCTTAATAACATCATTTTCTATTTTATAAGCTAGTTAAATATGTATGTTTCCACTTGAAAAAAATAAAGTTGACACCCCTATAGGTCATATGCGTTGAACATAAAAAATGTGTTTATAACAGATAAATAAAGATACATATAATAAGAATATTTGTGATTAATATTATTAAAAATTAGTACATACTGTTGGTATGTGTTTAGTGATGATGGTGGTAACATTGTTTTCGAAATATGTAACCGCGATTCTTTTTGTTGCTTCTAGATTTATATATTTTCAAGTTTTAAATTAATATTTTAAGTATAATTTTTATTTTAATAAAAGAAATACATATGTAAATAACAAAAACGAAACAAATATATTATTTTAAAATAAATTGAGTGGTTAGTGTTATGAGAATCATTCATATTGACACTGTTTGTGCATAAAAAAAATTACAATGCCAGATAATACTGTGAATGTACAAAGTTGACTGCACAATGTGTTTTTTCTATGCTGACTGAGATGTATCTCGAATAATCACTCTCTAGTACATCAATGGCTATAAAAGTATGTCCCGCATAAGGCCTCGCGTGACTTGGTACTGTAAAACCGCTGCAAACAGGAGAATTCAAATTACTCAATACTACTCATACGTTCACTAAGACATATAGGAATTTTACTGGCTCGAGAGTCGAGGAAATGATAATTGTTTCTTCCAGTTGTTGTTGTTTGAAACGGTCA